ACAACCACGCCTCTTCCGTTTCCTGGATATGGAGGGTATTTTTTATTTATTTTACACTTACAATACTCCTTTACCAATTACAGAGGATGAATCTTTTCGTAGAGATGAAGTGATGAGCGACACGCAATGTTTAGAAAGATGCAATAGACGTCTTAACGTTGGAATGGACATGGTGAAACGTGAGTTTCTTCAAGAATTTCGCTATATTTTTTGCCGCTTTTCACAGAACTGCAGGCAGGGCAGCTATATATTTCTACGATTTCTTCTGCTTGGAACAACTGCGGTGTTGATTGGATCGCTCAGCAGCTCAATCAGTCGTGAAAAGCGGAAGGCGATTAACACCTGGCTGAAGGGGAAGGATCTATTAATGACCAAGAATAATGTGTTCGGCGTTAATCAACCCTTTTTCTAGATGAGCCACACATTCGACTTTCATGCAAACTAGTAGAAGTATTGAATGCATCTACTTTTCTTTGCTATAATTCTAAGATCTGGACGCTGGGCTTATTAGCCTTGGAAGATGAACGATTTTTGCTGCAATTATGTAAACCTGAAGGGATAAAGAGTTTGGTTGGCCTTGACGGGAGTCAATCCGGAATTTGATTTTCGAAACATGCGATTAGGGATTAGGATTGCTACCGTCTTACCTTCACGACGGGACAAGGGAAATGCGGTTAGTGTTGTATCACGGGAATGCATCAATAAAAGCCGTAAAGCGAGCCGTAGGAACGAGTAGTGTAAAGCTCAAAGAACCAGCGCTAAAAGGAGTATCAAGAAGAGTAATGAGTCGAAAGAAGAGAAAAAGAAAAAGGAAACTCTGGGTAAACTCAGTCTTTTGAAGTGTTTTAGGCCCATATGTCGTTCGGAAGTATAGACGTTCCGTCGGTTGTAGAACGACGCGATTTGGAGCTGTTCTGCCTGCTGGACCGTCAACATAGCCGCTGTGTGGACGATTGCGGCTACACTGTTCAGTTCAATCTGAAGGGAATTCGTGTGCAAAAAACGATTCAATGAGGCAAGTGAAAGCTTTGTTCAAGCATGACAGACAAGGTTAAGCATCAGATTCAATAGGCGAGTAAAGCTATTTGTTCGAAGCATAGACAGACAAGGCGTAAAGCATCAAGATCGTGAAGAACAATGATTGTTAGGCATCTGCTAGCGGAATGGGCTAGCCATAGCCGGACTTCTGCCCCTGTTATGGCTTTTGACACTTTTGTTCCTATTGGTGTGGCGGTCCATTCAACTGTTGGGTGCTTTGAGGGCTTTTCCCTACATTTATCACTTATTTCCTTCCTTCATTTTTTGAAATAGTAATTTTAACCGCAAACAGTGTATAAGAGGGTGAAAGGAATTCAGAAACGTTCCTCTTGGAGTGCAGTACCTGTGGGGCTGGCGTGGCGGCGATGGCTCAAAAATTACGCGGAAAACGTCTCGCAAAGCAATTTTGACCTTTCAATAGGTACAACTCCCTTGAATATGATGTAAGGAAAAAACTCGAAATATTATGAAACTAGGAAAATTCCTCTTAAGCAAGAGTACAAATTTTGTTGAAGGTCTTCTGTAGCAAAACTCGCCCGTTGCGGATTTTGGCCAGAGGATTACTTCAGCTGCATTAGAAGGTCCCTCTAGTACATTACCCATTCGGTAAATTAGCTTCAAGCACAGCAACTTCGCTGAGGACTGCGCCAGCATTCCACTTCTATTCGAAATCGCAAAGACTATAGGAATATGGAACTATGAAGCAGCTCTCTGATCCAGCTTATGCAACCCTCGCGGTGACTAGACAAAGAGAACCTCTACCTATACTGCAGTTTTATTTACATTATATTGATTGCCATGAATTTCCCTGCAGCCAACTGGAGAGGCGACCCGCTCACCCGCTCAAAGGACACTCTTTCTTCCTTGGAGGCCACACCCCAAGCAGCTGATTTACGACACACGCTTGACCCTGTCAGCAGAGCTTCTGAATAGGTTACATTCTAAAGAGACTTCAGTTCATTGCAGATGGCCAGTCATCTTGCCTGCTATGCTCGAGCCGCACCAGTTCTGTCGCGGCATTGTCGTCCAAGATGTGGTGAATACACTCCACTGCAGCACACTCCACTTGGATATGCGCAAAGGTTAGTAAGTCTGGATGACAAGATGATTAGGTTCAATTCTGGTCTAACAAGATCAACCGGCGCGGAACAAGGGAGGAAAAGGCCATTCATGATCTCGTCTTCCCTAATCCCGCGCCAGGTGCTCTTCTTAGACCTCGCCACGTTCTTGAATCAACGGCCTCTTCTGCCATAACTTTGACTTTAGTAAGGTCTTACTCGATAGGACTTGTCTCCTCTTTCCTTATCCCGCACCAGGTGCTCTTTTCATTGCTAGACTTCGCCAGGCTCTTGAATCAACGGCCTCTTCTGCCATAACTTTGACTTCAGTAAGGTCTTACTTGATAGCGCCCCTCCACATCTTTTTCAGGGCCTCCCGTGGTCGCTTGCTCTGGACCTCTACTAATCAGAGAAATAAAGGTGAAAGAGGTGTCAACTGCAGGAAAAGGTGGTAGAGAGTAATAGAGGCGTCAATAAAAGACAACTTTCAGAACGCTGCTTTTTGGGAAAAAGCGATTAGTAATGTTTTAGGAGAACCGCGAGGACACAAAAAGGCTCTAAAGG